GATTGGTGGGCCTGATTGATAGAGCTTCATCAGAGCTAAATAACAAAAGAAATCTGAAGCTTCTATGTTGAACAGTTTCTGAGTTACAAGCATTTTTGCATGCCCAGACACCCCCCACTTTGAAAGGAGCCCCCTCCTCAAATATGGGATCTATCGTCGAACTGTTGGCTGGTGCAGTGTAGATCGGACTCATCTACAGTCCTGCCAAATTTCATGTTGATAGGTGCAACCGTTTTTGTGCTACGGTTGACCAAAAATCACTGACAAAAAAAAAACAGTACGAAAACAATAAGACTCCTGCTTACGCCTCGTGTGCGGGGGTCTTAATAATGGCAGGATCAGTCACATGTGTTTTCCCTCATACTGTATATATGTTTGGATAAAGCAGGGGTGATGGAGACAACAGTGAAAGATGACAGCATTTCCTTTTGTGTGGGATGACCTCGCTCTCAGCGGGTTGCCGTGGCAGCTTTGGCCCGTGTCTCTGCTGACCATCTGGCCTCGCTCGTCTCCACCGTGAGCAAATACCAGCGGAGAGGCTCGCTGACATATTCTGAATGTGTGTGATTCAATATTGGAGGTAGTTGTAAGCTCGGGATTAGCCTACAGCATCCTTCGTTTCCCCCCCGCCCACCCACTATAACCACCCACCTGCCAATAGTTCCATTCACCTGCTCCCCGTGATAATCTTCTAGTTATTATCTGACTCAATCTGCAAACTATACGGCAAATACTGCAAACATCTGATCCTGCGCCAGCGTGCCGCGTAATACACACGAGACAGAAGTGTCTGAATGTGGTTACAATGTGAACGTTGAAAGAGCTGCGTAAACTGTATGTCATTTACAAATCTTATTTTATTTGCAGCAGAACATACTAAACATAAAATATTAAAACTAAATGGTGTCACTTTTTTAAAAAGGTAATTTTAAATTTGATGCTAACAACACGTCTCAAAAAAGTTGCCTTTAGGAATCGAGGAACTGAGGAGACATTGGCTGGATGTTAATGGAGCCTTTCCAGATGTGTAAGCTGCCCAGGACATATGCAACAATACACCCTCATACCATCAGGGAGGTTTTGAAGTGTGCACTGATAACAGGCTGTATGGTCCGTCCATTTCAGTACTGATGATGTGGCATTTGTATTTTAGCATTTGATCTCAAACATTTCCCCAGATTCCCGAAACCTATTGATGTTTTTTATGAACTGTAGATGATGGGATATTCAAAGTTTTCCTAGTGTCCATTGATGCCCATCTTATTAAGGGATAAAAATGTTATTTTTATACTCATTCCTCTTACTGATCTGTCAATGTACACAATTGGTTTCAAAATGTTTATTATTTATACATTTTCAAAACCTCTCGCACCATTTTTGAGAGCTATTGGTGCCATAAAACTTAAAATTTCAAAATTATTATTATTATTATTATTATTATTATTATTATCATTATTAAAATACATTATATAAAATTAAAAAAATATATATTCACTATGTTCCACTGTGAGTAAAAAATGGGTTCATGAAATTTGCAAATGATTGCATTTAGTTTTTATTTACATTTTGCACAATATTTCAACCATTTTGGAATTGGTCGTATATTTTAAATATGGCCTCCTATTGCTTTCAGATTGGAGCACAACTCTTACCATTGCTTTATGTTTATTCCTAGATTATCTAAAAATAAAAATAGCATGGTATAAACCACATTAAGTCTGATTTCTATAATTTAGCTGCAAGATCTTACAAAACATACAGTCTGTATGTGATGAAGGACATGTTTTATTGTCCGCCGGTAGGGGGCGTGTAGTGCCCACAGATTACAGCCAGTTGTTGAGACCCCCCTTTTTTAATCCTCTTGGGTTTCAGATAAATAAATAAATAAATAAATAAATAAACAACATAGATGCAGAGCAGAGTGCTGCTCGGAGAACTGCTCTGTGGTTCAATCAGCACTGACACACAAGCTGGGAGGTTCATCACTCCAATCACTTAGTCAAAAAATGTTTTACAACTAATGTATGAAGATAAACTGCATTCTGTAGATGTTTTGCTTTATTATTTTTTTTCTACACATGGGAATATTGTTTAAACGTAAAAGAGACTAAAGAAAATTAGATTAAGTGTATTTGATCCATGCGTAAATTGGATTTTTTCTTTTCTGTTTCCTTTAAAACTTCACAGACACCAGAACAGCTAAACCTCTGCTTCTTTCCAGCGTTTTATTTTGGTGGGGTTATTTTTCTATGCATGTGCGTGTCTGCTCGAGACCGATACAAATAGATTCGCCTCACGTCACCATCCTACCCCCCCCTAAACACACACACACACACACACACACACACACACACACAC